TTCAAAGCAGTTCCATTGACTAATTCCAAGAACTTTGCAGGAGTTCCGAGGAATTATGGGAAATTCTGAGAATTTCAGGAACGTTCCGAAAATTTAGGGTCCTCAATTTCAATTAGGATTGGATGAACGAAAAATTTCAGGTAAGTCCAGAGAAGTTCAGTGAAGATTAAAAAAAGTCCCATAACTTTCAAAGAAGTTTCAAAACATTTGAATGAAAAAGGCAGGAACTTTAGGATAGATCGAAGAACTTCATGGCAGTTCAATAAGCTTCACGAATGTTGTGGAAACTGAAAAATTCAGGGAAATCTAGATAGCTTTATTAAAGTTCAATGATCTTTAGGGCTGTTCCAATTAGAGAAGCACCATAAACTTCAGACTTTTGGGGGAAGTTTATTTATTTATTTATTTATTTATTTATTGTTCCAATGATTCATCTGACATATGGTTGTCTTAATTAATTAAAAAAGTATAATTAAAACAAAAACAGGACACATTCTAATTCAGGACAGTCTTCTAATAGAAACGGTTAACGGCACATTAAAGTCGGATAAGTTCATTCAACCCATATTGCCGATTACGATCTGCGAGATGTACAAAATTACGCTGTCTAATCACTCTCTCAGGTGCGTAAAAGAAAAGCTGCCGGAGTAATTCGGGGGAATCAATCTCGCTGGTAATGATTTTAGCAGCAAACACAGCTTGAGCGTTCCGTCTTCTTTGTTCCAAAGTATCATTTCCAAGCAGACGAAAGCGATCCACGTAAGACGGCAAGTTAGCCGTGTCACGCCAAAGCAGATGACGAAGTGCGTAGCGAACAAACTTTCTCTGTACACTCTCAAATCTGGCTATCCAGCATGTTTGGTATGGGCACCAGACGACAGCACTATACTCTAAGATTGAACGTACTAACGAACAATACAGCGCCCGCAGGCAAAGCGGATCGCGAAAGTCTTCAGATATTTTGAACATAAAACCAAGCTGCCTGTTAGCCTCTCTAATGGTTGCCCGGAAATGGAATAATCAAATATTACCAAGTTCTGCACTTGTTGATGCTGAGCGTCAAGAAATTACGGGAGCACCAACTCTGCATACGATCCACAATCAGCTGCAACTCCTCACAATCAGCGATGCAATTGATAATCGCATACATTTTGACATCGTCTGCGTAGAATAGCCGGCATCCAGGTGGCAGTAGACACGAAAGCTCGTTGACGAAAAGGGAAAACAGAAGGGGTCCCAGATTACTTCCCTGGGGAACGCCGGAAACGTTCGTGAACACTTCAGAACGAGAAGCTCCAATCTTAACGCAAACCGAACGGTTCGTAAGGTAAGATATGATCCACGAGATGAAGGATCCAGACACTCCGACTTTCTCAAGCTGGCTCAAAAGAATGTTAAGGTCTACTCGGTCAAATGCAGCCTTGAGATCAGTGTAAACCGCGTCGATTTGTTCGCCAGAGTCCATTATCCGAATGCAGAGCTACACGAATTCGGTCAAATTGGTTGTAACCAATACTCCCAATACGGTCAGAAGAATCCATGCCGAGCCGTGGAGATGTAATTTTTACAAGAGCTGCAGAGCGCCTCATTGATGATAATCTCGAATACTTTGGAGCAGCACCATAGTGATGTGATTCCTCTGTAATTGTGTACATTCCTTTTATCACCTTTCTTGCGGACGGGGAACAGATACGAAAACTTCCACGCCTCAGAAAATTTACTCTCCTATAGTGACAGATTAAATAACTTCGCCAAGGGAGTGAGCAACGACTCCGAACTTAGCTTCAGAACGGACGCAGGAATGCCGTCTGGCCCGGCAGCAAACGAGAGTTTCAACCTTTGAAGATCTAGATTGACGGTATGTTCACTGATGTGAAACGGACGGAGCTCAAATGCATCTGTTGGAGAATCGCTTATAGCAATCGAGACTTGATTTGGTGAGGCCGAAGATTCATTGAACGAACTCATGAAATGTTGAGCAAAAAGGCGGCAGATTAAGCGGTTTGCTCACCGAGATGAACTGACAATGGCAAACCGACTTCGTTTTTTTTAGAGTTTACAAACGACCAGAAACGCTTTGGGTTTCTGCGAAGAGATGATTGCGTGCGGAAGACATATCGTCGTTACTTGTGCGGTTGAAATTGCGGTTTAAAGATCTTGAGGATTTTTTTTTTTTGGTTTTCCAGTCTTCAAGAAAAAAAAAATATGGCTATAGTTTTATCCTAGATAACGTTTCGATCCAGGGGTTGCGTAAAGCTTTTTGCGTTGAACGAAAGATGGTACAACTTTATGTCCCCTGAAGAAGGTCAAATCCAAAGACAGAAACGTCTGATATAAAACATCGTAGAGTTTTAATCAACCCTTACACTGAAAATCCAATTCCAAAATAGTATTTTTGAGTTTTATGGCAAGCTCATTGCAGACAAGTCTTACCCGTACCCTAGTTTTAATAAGAGGGAACTAAAATTAGTGTACATTCTCAAATTACACACAACTATGGGCTCTTCTTAAAGAGTACACATGGATTTTAGGTGGGTGGGGGCACACATACAAAGAACCAGTGAGTAACCAACTCTAAATTTACCATGACATGTTGTTGTTTGTTTCTACCAATTTGGATGAAAATATATTTCAAATTTCAGCATCATTTTAAATTGAAAAAAAAAAATTAGTAGCCAATATACTGCAGTCAATTTGTTAATTTATAACTCTATTTTTTTCCTAACTCGATGAAGTTCAACGCCTCTTTAATTTTGCAAACAATGCTCTCTTCTTAAATTGAAACCTCCTTCACTCGGTGTGTGTAGAATAATTTGTGCAGGTATTTTGATTTCCCAAAGTTGATTTTATATGTTTGTTTTGTTACATAAAGTCGTAGCAGTTACACTGATTGTTGAGCTTATTTGTAATCTAGTAAGAAGATTAAAATCATAAGTACTTTTTAAAGAAAAAATAAATCTGAAAAAATATTCCACTTGAATGGAACGTCAAATATGTTTCTGCAATGTCATATGAAAATCAAGGGTTTTTTAAGGAATTTAAGAGTTATGCTTTTTTTTCTAATGTCGAGTAGCTTGATACCTTCTTAAGTCAATGGAATCTTGAAAATAGAGTTGACTGTAACACAAAACTTCAAACGAAAATGTTCTTATTTTGAATAAATGTGGGTCACCACAACATGATTTAAAATACAGATTGATAATCCATAAAAATACAAAGTGGAAAATCATCCAACATAAAATCATCTAAAAATATCCCACGACTCACCGAATGGGTCGTGATGCATAGATTGCACTAAAATCAAAGGATTTAAAACGGTTCAAAAGGTTCACCAACTGGTTTTCTGTGTTTGTTAAATGCATTGCAACAACAGTGTAGAAATTCATCCAGACTTGCAACAGAAAGGAACCTACATGAGTTTGAATGAGAACCAGGGACGTTAAAAATTCAGATCCGAAAAGCTATTTGGAAAAAGTTGTTGCGAAATTTGGATTCACTTTAAACTTTCAATATAATATTAGGAGTAACTAATGTTGAATATTTCACACTACGAATAATTAGACGCTGGTGACGAAATACAGCAGGTTCAGCCTTTTCAATAACAGAAATACTCGATCCGCTCCAAAAAAGATCGTTGAAAAATTTCATGAAGTGGTTTTATGCGTTGATGGTTGATTACTGATTCAATATTTACATTTCTTCTTTTTTTTTAAATAGAATGTCCATAAAAGTGCTTACACTACGCGTTATTTAAGCTACACACTAAGTTTTTTCTACCGAGCTCGGCTGTGCAAATCTCGACAAAAAAAGTTTTACTGAGATCTCAGCAAATATTTCATTTGTTTACTGAGATTCAGCTAAGCACTATCCGGGACTCAGCTATCAAATGTCACTTTTGTTGAGATCTCAGTGAAACTTATTTTACCGAGATTTGCACAGCCGAGCTCGGTAGAAAAAACTAAGTGTGTACGTTTATTTAAACAAAACATTTATTTTTTTTAAGAATGTTATTTAACTATATAATTCTTTAGATTTCGTTCGAAATCGTACTTAAAAAGATACCGAAATATGTCACATGATATCTAAAAAAATAATAAGAAAACAAACAATACCCGCTGTGAAGCTGATGAATTAAAAGCTATTTACTTCATTAAACATTACACCACCGCATGTTGCGAGTTTTTTTTAACAGCAAAAAAGGCTATCTTCCATTAAATTCCACCTAATTAATGTTGGTATCCATGACAGATCCATGACGTATGTCGACTACAATGTGCAGTCCTCATCAGTGTCATTCCCACTAAAGACTTATCAAAAATCTAACACCCTTAAGTACTCATCCCCTAGGTAAAAATGGCATGATCACAGGTATATAAATAAAACAACAACGTGTAGAATCGAACCCTACCTTACTAATAATAGCCAAAGATTTAAGTAAAGGAGAAAAATCTATACATCTTTCTTATAAGGAAAATCCTCACAGGCTTGGTAGTCATCAAAAAGAAGTAATGATTTAGTAGGAGTCACATTGTTGATAACCACACATTAATAAAACTAATTAAGTGGAATTAAATAAAAGGTTTTTGCTGTTTTATTGAAGCATTCCACTAACATCTAAATTTCATTACTTCATCGTGAATTTTTTCAAAATTTATTCAAATTTTGAATTTTCACACAAATTTTGAAGGAAATATTTGTGCAATCTATAAAAAATAATATTCACAGAATTGATACTAATGTATTTGGAAAATATTTCAAAAATTTTAATGCCACATAAATATAAATATTTGTTCGAAATTTAATTCATATTTACTAAAAAATAATATGCGTCAATTTATGAAAAAAAAAAAAAAAATTAAGCCAAAATTTCTTGAGCACCTAATATTCCTGCAAGATATTAACAGCCATTATCCTCGCCCCCCGAAAAACAATTCCCCTTCAAAAGACTTCGAACCGCAAGAGACGAACCCCTCCAACCCAACTTGGAAGCTGGAGCCTACCTTGATTAAACAGCAGGATCAGGCACGAAAGCCAAAATACTCCAACTCTGGACTCCATCTTCAACATCTGGGCAGGAAATGGAGAGGAGGGCCGGATGTCCTGTGACTGCTCTGTCTGGGGGTACACCGTGGACAGTCACTCTCCCCAACACGCCAACTGCAAATCACACCGCTGCACGCACTGTGTGTTCCACTTTCTTCCGATCCGCACTCTATGTGTGTGTATGTGTGTATGTGTGTACGTACTTTAACTCTACGCACTAATCAATCTTATCACGGTCGGATGCAACGAAAACTTCCTACTACTATTCGACGAATGGCGTGGGCCAACTGTTGTGACGGGGTTAACCAGAAAATCACTGCGTGCAACAATTTCTTTTCCTTTTGCTCGGTTTAATTGGGCTCTTCCTCACAACACTTCTTCACCTGCCGCCATCACACTCGAGCCATCAATATTTTCGATTCGATATATATCACACTCTCCGAGGCGCACTTCTGGCACGCACCCACCACCCACAATTCACTCGCTGTTTGCTTTGAACGGGGGCTTTGATCCAGATTATTCAAATTTTTCGACGCGCTTCGCTTGCCAATTTGCCGGAGGAAAAACTTCCTGCTGCTCGGATTTTCTTGGCGCAAATCCCAACTCCACTGGACCGGAGGGAAGTATTTTTCGACGATTTTCTCTCGCGCTCTAATGGTGCACTTGGCAAACTTTCCCAAACTATCGTGTTTTCCACACTCAGCGCAGCATAGTTGAAGGGTCTGGCTTAGCAGGATCTACTGTATGGTGAAATATCCTCGTTTTGAACTCACAGGAACTTGTCACATCACTTGAATTCTCAATTCGGGACTCGACGCGGATTTCGAAAATTTTCCCTTTCCTTTCAAATTTGTGGAAATAGCCGACAGACTAAACTTTTACTTATTTATTTTTCAAGAACGAAATTTTTCAGAACTTTAGACGAAATTTCAACGGAACACTCAGCCGCTGGGATCGTGGTCGACAGATTCGAATAAACTTTAAACTTGGACTCAAACTCCCAACTTTGCGCAGAAAAATTGCAATTCGAAACGGCCTTTTGGAAAAGGGGGAAACACAAAACCCGCTCCAAGTGCTTCTCATGCGAGCACTTCTCTTAAACTAATTTCATTATTGCAAGTAATTTGCCGAGGTGCTGGTTGTGGCTGGGTGGCTAGAGTGGCTGCTAGACTCCACCGAAAGTCGATCGGAAACACGACGTCAAAAATCTCTCGCTCACGCCGCTCGCTCACTTCTTTGCACTGCAAGCTCCGCCGGACAGCTGACTTCAGCCGAAGAAACCGAAAGCTTACGTGCAGAGTTGAAGGTAGCGTGAGTAAATCTGAAAGGAAAAGGAATGCTCCGGCAGCAGTGAAAAATGCAAGAGCCTTTTCCACCACCCGACGCAAATCCTCCCCCAGCAGGCCGAAGGCTCTCACTCCGCTCAAGTTCTCTCTCTCTATCTCTCTCTTTGTCTTGCTCAAAAAGCTCACGTGCTCAAGAAACAGAAATTCACCACCCGTCTTAAGAAAAGCTCCCCATGCGTCAGTCAGCTGAGCAAATTGCGAACCCAAAGCGGAATAGCCAACCACAAGGTGGTGAATTTATTTCGTCATTCGCTTCGGAACTCAGCTAAGTGGGTGGTGGGAGATCCGACCAGGTTCCAGGTTGAGCCGTTGGTATGGAAAGACCTTGCACCGGTTGTTTCACTTTCGAGCGCGCGCGCGCGCTTTGAGCGTTGTTGGAGTGTATTGGTGGGGTCGTGCCTGCCGTTCGTTGGTTTGACGCAATTAAATTGAAATGTAACACAGCGGGATCGGAGCTCGCGACGCGAGAGCGAGAGCACAGGGAACAAGCATATGGAGCGAACGTATCGTGGGCCCTTGCGGGACTGGTGGTTGATTTCTTTCGATTTCCTGATTTCATTTGAAAGATTTGAAAGTTCATAATCATTTGACTATTGAAACGCAAAAACATCGTTGGAGTGGAGCCTGCAATTAAATTATTGCGAATATTTTCTAAAAATTTTCTTTCATCGGATTACATGGCAGTTGTGCGCAGCCAATAAGAAAAGAAAACCAACGTCAAAATATTCATCAGCTGATCGTACTGGTTGGAAGCAGCAAAAATAAATCCTCCTCAAATTTTTCATTTTTTTTTGTTTGATTAGCGGTAAGTTGCATTTTGTTTTACTAAATAATCAAAGTGAGTTAAACATACACTGCTTTTAGATGGACCAGATTCAGCAAGCAGTGATTAAGCAGCATGCTTCTGCCAACACAAAATATCACGCCCTGTACGGATTATTTTTTCTGGGTTTATCCAAACCTCAACTAGCGAAAATTTATGGGAAGACTCCAGTTACCATTGGCAACTGGATCCGGCAGTATCAGGACTGCGGCCCAATGACTCGAAACGAGAGAACAAAAGTCTACCTGCAGTTTAATGACGAGAAACGCCACTGGATCATCATGCTATTCCGAAACGAACCAACACTGGACGAAGCGAAAAACAAGTTTGAGAACACTTTTCAGTGCCCAATAAGTATATCCAGCATTTCCAGAATTCTGCATGCCAAGAGTTATACATGGAAAGTTATTGAACGGAGAGCGATTCAAGTGAAAGAACCCTAAATATGCTTTTTTTTTGTGAATGAATTGTGTTCATTCAATTGGAACCTCCAAAACTTGGTATTTTTGGATGAAGTTTCAATTGATAATCGGGGTATGCTGAGGAATTGCGGATATGCCAAAGTAGGAGAAAAATTGATCTTCCGGGGGGAATTTAACCACAAAGCACGAGTATAATTACTGTATTTTCTTGGGCAAACTGGGATAACGTTCCAAACTGACGGAACGTTCACGAGAGCGCGTTTCTTTGATTGCTGTAGAAAATTTGCAAACAGTGGCTTGGTTTTTCGGAATCCAGGAGTTAACTCGGTGTGGATACTAGGCGGTTCACGAATCCATTGCGACCGTCACATAATCGAATATCTACGATCACTTGGCATTTACGTCGTATTCCTCCTCCCGTACACACCATTCTTTAACCCTATAGAGTTTATTTTCGGTTATTGCAAAAGGAAATTGCAGAGAAATTACGTAAAAAACAGTCGTCAAAACTTAACCACAATTTCCGCGACATTGAATTCCTTCGGTCATTTTGATTGTATATTTTGTTTGAATCAAAGGAACCAGTCCAAGGGGCTTGATCGTCCGAATAAAATGTAAAACAAACTTATAAAACAAGAGTTAATACCGTTTTAATTGATCCAGCACATATACTCACTCGTTAAAAGAAAATTTGCAGTTACGGTTACAGTTAAAAGAACGAAGGCTTCCTATAGGTGGTCCACGTCCAAGCAATCAGTTACTTGATTGGCCAGTTCCTCTTCGAAGACATCCTCGCTTGTTTCCATGCTTCCAGAGACAGCGAATAGAATGGAATCATTGGTAGCTTGCATCGTGCGCAGTGCAGTTAAGCGAAGTTTCATTGCATTAACAAGAACGCAAACCTGGTCCAACTCCTTCCACAACCTATCCAATTCCTCTTTAAATCCAGTATTCACGTTTTGAGCGATCCTAATGTCTGACTTGCAGAAGGTACCGTTTTGAAAAGATGGATCAAGTGATGAGGAGGGCCTTGAAGTTTCAATCCATCCCGTTCCAGTGCATCCTTGGTAAAAAGGAACGAAGCCCACACTGCCCAGTTCACGCCTTGAGAGACATAGGATCCCTTGTGCAAGTTTTTCAGCTCTGCAACCAGCACAGACACTGCTTGATTTGAAGCAACGCCAGCTCCGTCCCTTTCCTCTGGCTTCAAGGGTTGATTCCTGAGGGTGTCGTACTCATTTGCCGAAGTAACTGACTCAGAGAAACCATAAACAAACGCGTTTACCTCCTTGTCCAAAAACTTTTGTATCTTTTCCGGCTTTTTGATAAACTGTGACGGCTTATGTGTCCTCTTTGAAATTTTGTCCTGAAATGTGACGAATTTGTCGATTTCTTCGATAGTTGGAGCAGTTGTCTCGGCCCAACGTGCCAAATACTGGTCATCACCAACCCCAGCAGCTGCATCAAAGATCACTTCCCTGCTTATGTGGTCTTCGCGAGAGTTCCATAGAAGCTCCATAACTTATTGCACTGAGTCACAGTTAAAGTTTATTCTGCCCACCGATGGACCTTTCTTGTGCCCTTTGAAGTTCCTTGTCAAAATTTGAACGGTGAAACGGAACAGTTTTTTTTTTTATCTTCCTTTACCTCATCCTCGGAAACATCGAGAAATTCCTCCTCCTCATCGGCGATATCGTGGTTCTCAAGTTCATCCATATCATAATCGATGGCCAACAAGCTTCGGTGATCCTAACGGTTACACGTCGTCCATCGTAGGGAGCTGAATATTTTCATACGTGATGTTATCATGCTTTAAATCGTAATATGAAAAGTTAATTTAAATACCTGATCAGCAAAACAGCAGAAAAACAGAACAGAACACTTCAAAAAAACCAACCAAACACACTTCTTTTACGCTTTTCTTCACATTTAACGAAAACAAAAATAAATATTTACGTTTTTCCGTTGAAAACGCTGACCCCAATGTCATATAAAACAGGTCCGGCAATGCAAATCAGTCATCTCTTCTATTCTTCCATTGATTTATGTAACAACAAGTGTGACTTTACACTTGTCGTTGTCGTTACATTGCCGGACCTACTCTCTATGACACTAAAGTTAACATTTGCGCACAAGTGAATGTCAGATTCGTGAAAAAGGGAACCGACATATTTTCTCGAGAAGCACAATATGTTTTCACAAACGCTTTGTTCTTAGCAGTAAAATAACTTCTTTTTTGTCATTGATTGACGTGTAATTTTTTAAACAATGTTGTTGCCGTAAATTGTGAGCTTAGTAGTCGCATTTTTTTTTTTTTCATTTGGCGCCACATACACTACCGATCATAAGTTTAAGGACACCCCCAAAAAACCATGCAAATATGTTTTGTTCAATTATCTCTCATTTTACGTCCAATTTTCGATCTCCAAAGGTTATTTGAATGGTATGAATGGTATAGCATAAGTGCTCTACTACTACTTTTATTTCAAAATTTGGCCAACCCAATTCTGAGAAAATCAGTCACGATTCTTCAGAGTAAATTTTGAAAAATATTGTAACTTTGGGTGAACTTTTAGCACACAAAACTTAAAAATTATATTGAACAATTTGCCTACGAGGAAAGTTCCATTCAAAACCTTTCAAATGATCTAAATAGAACGAAAATTGGACGTAACATGACAAAGATATGAACATAACAAATTTGTCATGTTTTTTGGGGGTGTCCTTAAACTTATGATCTGGAGTGTATACAATATCAAAATGGCGCTAATTTGATCAAAATGGTGGCGTCAATAAACTTTAGATCTTTGATTTTCGTACATTTAACCATTACCAAAAGTATAATGAGTGTCATATCTTCATGTTTCATAATACTTCAAAATCTTCAACTGACATGAAATTTTCGACACTTTTGATTCATAGAATACACACTTAGAAAAATTGATGTAAATTTAGGTGCTCTGAGACTGACATATACGAACGTCAATTTTGACATAAAATTGAGTCATAATAGACGTGAAATTCAGCTCAATCAAACGTACTTTCGACCTTTCCAGTCTCGGAGCACTTAATTTTTCATTAGATGTTTGCTTACGTCTCATCTTTTATGTCAAAGATGGATTCCGTCACGTACAAAATTAGTTATTTTTAAGTGTGTATATTAATTGTGCAGCAAAACACACAAGATAAAGTCGATACACATGATCATTATGAAACCTTTTGAATTCTGTTGCAATTTCCATCTAATTAATAAGGCATGTTGTCTGATCTACCGCCACTATTTGTGTAGTGAAAATATTGACAAACCATGTTCCACAAAGATGTGTAGAGTGAAGTTTGGCGTTAGTAAAACAAATTAAAATTTCTCAGAACTCCAGGCATTTTTAATCTAATCTAATCTAATCTAACACCAACACAGCCAGTTCTTGAAAGCATCCTGGAAAATGATACATATATATATACCTAAATCATTTTTCTTGTCTATTTGTTATATGTTTCACATCGAAGATGCGTCACACATATCA